CGTCGGGCACAACAAGCCTGCTACCTGACACCGAGGAAGGTACATCGAGCACATAAACTGCAGTGAGAACCGCCCCAGGTTGTACACGCAATGAGGCGTCGCTATCAGTCACGCCATTGACAGCAACGCGCCACCCCAGGGGTGCCTCAGCATTGAGGTCAGCCAGGACAGCATCAGCAAGAATGCGGTCGTGGGAAGCCCGTCCAAAAACCCAGCCTTGGAACAGCTGGCGACAGTCAACCAAAAAGCAGAAGGAGCGACGGCCCTCGGCATCAGCGACACGCGGAATGGCCAGCACCAGGGCCCGACAACACCACCCATCGACAGCCGCGTCCAGCACTTGAGGCGAAGCTGAGCAGATCATCAGGTTGTGGTCAGGGACGCCTGAGACCTCGGAAAGTCGACGGCGATAGTGCCAAGGCTGCGCAGGGTCAATGTCACAGAAGCAGGACCCTCGCTCAAGCACGACACAATACCCGTGTGCGGGCTCAAAGATGGGGCCGATATCGTCATCCCAGCCCTCTAAAGATAGGAGAGCCTGTGCCAGAGTAACCTGAGGAGACCCTAGCGGGGAGCCCGGCCGCAGGAACCGCAAGGCAATGCCCGGAAACACATGAGCCTGGACGCCGTCTATCAAAGGCTGCTCATCCAGTCCAACAATGACCATGATATCAGAGTCAGCTGGAAGGGCGACCAACGACAAAGCCGACTGCCGGTCCAGATAATCCGGCACTTGCGTTGCGAAAAGCCGACCATCTACGTCTCGAGCATCGATACAGGCAACCATGGCAAGCCCCAGCCAAGCAGGGTTGGCAAGGAAGGTGCAAACGCCAGGGACAGGCTGCGGGAAGACCTCAAGAAGTGTAGGGAAATCATCCGACAGATCGTGTCGGCGGACGTCTCGCACAGCAAGACGGACGTCCTCCAACAGAGCGGGAAGCCGGATGGCAAAGCGCAAATCCTCCGGAGCGAAAAGGGGCTTCAGCACCAGCGCGCGCATCCAGTGCACAGCAGAGCCTAAGAGGAACTCATCCGACATTGCGTCATCGGTGCCGACACGGTCCTCTGTTCCTTCATCAACCGGGATATAAGGCCATTCGCCTCCTAGCTCGGTGGTGACAAACCTCAAATCTTGGAGGGCCTGCAGCTGCTCGCGGTTCCCGCACGCAGGCTCAGTCAGAAGGCGGGCGGCAACCGCAGCAGCAGAACCACTCAAAGGGCGGGAATCAGACGTCGCCTCAGCAGACATGCTCTCAGGAGGCCCGGAGACGGGGCTGGAAGACGGACCCGCTGTCCCCTCCGCAGGGTCAGACTGACGCCGACGCTTATCCGACGCCCCGGCACTCTCGGAGGCGTAACAGCCAGCCTCGACATCGATGCCTCGGATCGGATCGGGGGGGGAAGAACCTTCATGGTCCTCACCCTCACCATGGGCCGGGTCAGCGGGCACATGGCACACCTCAAGAACTTCCCCTGCAAAGACGCGAACATGGCCGTCCGCCACAGCAATACCCCCACGGACAACGACACGGCTAGCAGGGAGCCCCGAACGCGCACATCGCTGGCGAATGGCCTCAACATCAACCAGACAGTCCGCGGAGGCAGCCCAAGAAAGCCCACAACAAATGGGGCGCAAGTCAAGAAAGAAGTGACAGCCCTCCAGCTCAGCCTGCCTCGGAGTAGCGATCACAACCTCTGCCGCATGTCGACCGCTGTCAAAAAAGTCAGTCACAGGCGGCCGTGCCGGCTGAAGGGAAAGCGACGTGATAGGGATCGTCAGCGCCTCAGAGATTTCCTGGCGCATAAAACGCCGTCTATCAAGAGCACACGCGATACTCCAGGGGTCCGTGTCAGTCAAAACATAGACCCAGCGACCGGGAATGCCCAGGCCGACAGAGTCGACACTCCACCCCTCACGCGACAACAGCATATCGTCAAGTGTCGAGACCACGAAGTGGGAGCCACTGACAGGCACAAAGGACACACAACCGCCGTTGAACATTCGGCACTCCTCGCCGGGAAGCAAAGGACGCTCCGACTCAGGCCCATAAACCTCATTGTCACTGTAGACTGCCAATCCGGCCGCGGCCAGCAAGGATTCCC